TTTATTGATGAACCACAACAACAGCCAACATGACACAATCACCCTAAGAGTGCAGTAGTGGCACTCATACCTTGGCAGTAACCAACAGCTCTCCAGTTGGATTTATGACCCATTCAACAAGAGGGAAGTCATGCCAGGTACTGAAACCTAGCCAATTCGCTAGAGCTAGAGAAGTCATGGATCTTGGGAGAGAACCTACAACTACTACTTCACTAAACCAGTATAATCCCTAAGTACATTCTAAATATTTGTTCCCTACCCACAAATAAGTGTCAACCATTCCCCATCAAAGAAACATCTATTTGTAGCATACATAGAACATTATATTAAAAAAAAAAAACAACCCCCAATCAAAATTCAGGTGTGAACATGATTTTAATTTCAGTTTTATTTCCTTTTCCCATAATAACTGAAATTTTCTGAGCATGATATTAACCTTTATTAAAATAAAAAAAAGGTCTGAATACATTGGCAGGAGTTACAGAAGGGAAACTGCTTTTAAATACGAAAAACTTTTGTTGATTTCATCCAAAGTGAAGAGTGATGTTATATACTGTGCAACTGAGCCCTTTTCCTAATGTTTTCTCTGTGTTTAAAAGCCTGACTAGTTTCCAGGATTATCTTTAAACACTCATGCCTAAATGAGTTCAAAGTTATTCCTCAGTATAACTTACCCTGATTTCTTTGTTATCTGTTAGATTTCTTTTGTAAATAACAGGATAATCTATGAACATTCCAATAGACAACATAAAAAAATGTTCATGAGGTCTCAACCTTACACAAAGAACTATAGGCAACTGAAGAAAGCTGGGAGTAGGAGAAGTGGTCTTCTGTGGTGATATATTATTTGTAATCTAGGAAATGAAGTTTACCTGAAGATCAGAGGACAGAGCTAGCCACAGAGTAAGCCCTAGAGGTCAGGCAATGGTGGCACACACCTTTAATCCTAGCACTAGGAAGGCAGAGGCAGAGATCCATTTGGATTTCTGTGATTTCAAGGCCACACTGGGCTACATGAGATTAATCCAATCTAAAAGAGAAACAGAGCCAGGCAGTGGTGGCATACACCTTTAATTCCAGCACTTGGGATAACATACCTTTAATCTCAGCACTAGGAAGGTTGAAACTGGAAGTGATATGGCTGGGCAGAGAAAGCAATATAAGGCAGGAGGAGACAGGAACTCTGGCTTCATTCAGGCTGAGGAATTGGTGAGTTAAGAGGTGGTGGCTGTGGCTTGCTCTGCTTCTCTGAAATTTTGGCTTTCACCCTGTTATCTGGCTCCGGGTTTTTATTAAGACCAATTAGGATTTGTGCAACAGTCTTCCCAAGAAAAGGCATACCAACTGGTTGTCCAATGCCAAGTGTCAGCCCTGAAAACATACATATAAGTAACATTATATGGAATGAACAAGTTATATTTAAGATCATATGTGTATATACATATATACATGTATACATGCAATAATAATTATTGAAAAAAGAGGCAATTACTTTGAAGGAGAGTGAGGAGGGGCCAATGAAAAGGTCTGGAGGGAGGAAAGAGGAGTGAGATGTAATTACAATCTCAAAAAATGTTCATTATGATAGTACTTCAAACCATCAAGTTATATGGTCAAGTAGCCATTGGAATAAGTTACCTTGTTTTTTGACTAGCACTGAAAATTGTTAGCTGCATTCCTTGGGCTACTATCCCCTTCTTTAGAATTCATTAGTACTAAAATAATCTACCACACATATTTGTTATGGAGATTAAAAGAAATAAAATTGTAAAGCATCAAGCCTTCTGTACAATTCCTAGAAATTATTAGCAAACAGTTGTTGTGTGATCATTATATGTTAATATGTGCCATGTGTTATGATAGAGTCTCTGTACAGTATCATGACAGAGTTATAAATGGCCTGCAGAGAAAGTATAATAGTCCTTGTTTAAGAAATTAAACTGGGGGGGGGGGCGCGGAGGACAGGAGGAGAAAAGAGAAGGGAATCTGCAGTTGGTATGTAAAATGAATAAAAAATTCTTAATAAAGAAAAATAAAAATAAAAAAAATTAAATAGAAATTAAACTGAAACTCAGACTCCCAGGAACACACAGATAAAAGGCAGAACAATGATTCAAAGCCAGACCATTCTGCCTCTATTTCCTCCCCATCATGATCTGTCTATACAAGTTTCATACAAGTATTCAAATTTTACATAAAAATTAAAAGCAAATAAATGAACAAATATTTCTCTGTTCCATCACCCATATATCAATGGTCAATACATTAGTAGTAGCTGTGGTACTGGCACACACAGATACTTCCATCACTTCTGAATGTTCTACTGGACGGTATCATGCATCTGCCTATGTTGCTTTAGTTACAATACAAATACAATACAAAGCATTTTTTTCTAAACATTAAAATAAATCTTCATGTATAAATTACTTAACCTTTGTGGGGATTTTTCACAGAGCTGGAAACTAGGGGACTCATCCCTTGTAGTTGAAGCAGTAATAGGAATAGTCAAGTAGTAATTAGAATACCAAAGACAATATGAAAATGTCCAGTAATTCTCTACTTTCACCAACTGTTGATATTTCTATACTTCCCTGATTGTCCTCTGAGGCTCATCAAGCTTTAAAGTGTTTTCAATGTTTATTCTCAGTTTCTGTATATAAATCCAGGTAAGCTTCATTATCTATGACCATGACACTAATGATTTTACCTTAGAAAAATTTCTCCTCACTGAAAACCAAATAGCCTTTCTATGCAATACTAATGACAGGCATCACCCTCTGTCTGGAGACTTCTCAATTACTACAGTCTGGAAATTTAAAATGCAATAAACAAATGATAATGGCCAAACAAATAGCCACATAATTCAATATTCAAAACAAAACTAAGTACATTGCTTATTTGCAAAGAGTGTCTTTCACATAGAGCCAACTTTGGTTTTAGAATACTTGGAGCATAAGGAATAGACCTAGGAAACACCATGTATGGTAAAAGAATCATTAAGAAGCATAGGAAGCATCAGATGGGAATGAGATAAGGTGCTCTGCAGTATCTTGAACATATTTCAATAATAGCTTCAACCACACTGTGTTATAATCACCAATGGCCGGGCTGGAGGGATAGCTCAGCCGTTAAAGGCTAGGCTCACAACCAAAAATATAATCACCACCAAGTTTTCCATAGACTCTGAGATCTTTCGAAGAGCCTTGTGACACCCTAAAATACATTTTAGGGTTGGGAAAAATAAGCTAAGAAATAGCTACTGAGTAGCTAATACACTCAAGAAATACCACCATGATGCTAAACAGAATCTGATTGCTTAGGCCTGTACCTGAGCTGCTCCAGAGGTTGAGTCTGGAGAACAACAAGTTCAGTAGAATGATATAATCGCCTCACAAATAAATATAAATAAACAGATAGGTAGATAGATAGATAGATAGATAGATAGATAGATAGATAGATAGATAGATAGATAGATAGGTAGATAGGTAGATAGATAGATAGATAGATAGATAGATAGATAGATAGATAGATAGATAGATAGATAGATAGATAGATAGATAGATGATAGACAGATGAGAAAAAGGGGAGGACCAGGAAAATATTTCAGTGGTAGAGTGCTTGTCAAATGTTTGTTTGTTTGTTTGTTGTTTTAAGACATGGTCTCTCTATGTTTAGACACATAGTGTGGCTCACTATATAGACCAGGCTAGCCTTGCATTCACACAATCTACCTGTGTCTGCTTCCCTCCTGAGAACTGGGATCAAAGGCATATACCACAACCTACTAATACTAAATAATACTAACATAGCCCAATAGAATTAATACAGCCACTAGGAACACCCAATTTATAGTTTTAATTTAGTTCTTAGAAAATCTGGCTCAGTATATAAAGTTTTATGTTTAATAACCCAAATATTTGGGCACTATATGACTTATTCCTGCAAATACTCTCCTGTAACTGCTGGAGGAACAGCAAGTGGCTCTCTACATCTGTATATATCTTCTTACAGCCAGAGCTACTATCTTCTAAGAAGTTTTCTATTACAATAGAAATAGCCATGTTGACCTCAAAGAGGAAACGACTGCCAGACCAGAGCTACTGTAAGAAACAACCATTGACCTGTTCTTCATTCTTAAGCTAGAGGCTTTGGGGATGGCTTCCATGTATAACACATTCCCTAGTTAGCGGAAATAGCATCATTCATGATAATGAGAGCTCTTATCCTTTTACTTGTTAGAAAGGATTGCTGTGCTGAAACTGTTTCCTTCCCAGTTAAGAAAGCATGAATGGGTCAGCGAGCATTTCCTCTGAGTTCTACTTCCTTTAGGAAATTATGGTTTGCAATCCTATAATTTTTTGATTTCTGTTTACCTTTCTGTTTTCTCAAGCCAACATATTTACAAGCATTTCATCATCATGAATAAGAGAACAAAGAACGGCATCTGGCCTTATCTCCTTTGGCACTGCCACCCACAGCTCTGTGCATCCCAAGAACACACCTTCATCGTGGTGCTGACCCCAAACAACAGCTTGATCACAAGACAGCTTCCTAGTAAAAGAATTGAAAGGATAAAGAATCTGTACCTACCTTCCTGCCAGAATAGTCATAATGTTCTAGTGCAGAAACCTAATTTTATCTACTTGGAATCAGACGATGTAACCTGTCTGCTCTGCACACAGTATCTCATGGTTGTTTCTAAGTAGTCTTAAGGACACAGATATCAAGGGCTGTCCTGTCATCTACTAATCAACATTCTTTGAATAAATGGAACATACTGAATACCACTTGTAGGCCAGACATATTGCAAGCAAGAGGCATATAATAGGCACAACCCCAAAGAAGAAGGACCTGGTGACCAGAATTCCTGATATGACCAACATTCAATAAACCCCATGATAAATCAAAGGTCAACTCCAATGAATTGTGTTTTCCTTTAAGGTTTGTGTTCTAAAAACAAGATAATCCAGAACTTTTTGTTTTATTTTCTTAATTGACAGAATGTGAGTACTGGGGCTCAGAGCTTCAGATGCCTACTCTGAACTTCGAAGATGTGTTAAAAGATGATGAGCATGCATACAAATGGCTGTCCAGCCTCAAGAAAGTAGGCATTGTGAGACTCGTCGGAGCAGCTGACAAACACGGAGAGATCACCAAACTTGGAAAAAGGATTGGCTTCTTGTACCTCACATTCTATGGGTGAGTCTTCAGTTGGTTTGGATTCTGTCATCACAAATGCAAGTGGATCTATTCCCAAGAGGGGGCTTTGGTTATAAGATAAATACAATTATTCTTGTGCTAATATGATAGAGAACATTAGAAGTGAATGAAACCTTCACAAGCCAAAGTTAACACACTAGTAGCACATAGTCTTACTCAGATGTTTGGTTTGGCTCATAAGATGTTGAAAGAAAATAGAATTAGTTGTCAACACTTTAAAACTAGGAGGCCTGAAATATACTTAGACTTATCTTTTCTTGAAAAAACAGGTCTAGCAACACTACAGCCTAAGTCTAGCATGCCAACAATCAACTGAGCATAAACAGGCTACACCTTGTGTCATTTGCTGAAGTCTCCCTCTGCAGACCTGCAAGGCTGTGATATCATAGGATTATGTTGTCCCTAGAGGGGAATAAGATGCACAGATGATCAGGAACATTTAATCATCAACCCTCAATCATTTTAGTGAGTTTATCATAGCAAAAGACTGTGCCATGTTGGACATAGGCAACCTATTCCCGACCCTTAGCATATGGATTTACTTACACTATTAGTAGATTTACTTTATATAAATGTATAGAGTCTTTTCATCTGAAAGAACTTACACTGCTGTAGATATTGCCATAATCACAGACCAATGAGTGAGAAGATATTTGAAATTATTAAGAGCCTCAGGTATACTTTTTAATTCCTTTAAAGTTTCTGAAATAGTGATTATCCTCCAGTTTGTAGGTAAGCAATATGAAGCTTAAAGAATTAATTTGTAATGCAGATTCACATGAGTAATAATAAAGGAGGCAAAGTATAAATCTAGGCTTGTCTCTACTTCACTGTTAATAACACAAAGAAATACATAAAAAATGCTGAGACTAAACTAAACAGAACACCTCGAAATAAATCTCTTGCGAGTCATTTCACTTAGTTTTCATTTACAAACAACAAACACTGGAGTCTATTCCAGTGCACTTCACAATTTCATAAGAGTGGCCAGTTTGGGTGCTCTTTTCAGAGGTTCTTAGCTCCACCCAAACCACTCATCCATCTAATTGGGGGTCAGAATCTTAATCCTGATTTACGGTTTGACGTTTGTTTTGTTTCTACAGGTCCTATAAAGAGACTTAATAACTTGGCCACCGATCTAATATTGTGAATTTTTTTAGAATAAATAGTCAAGGTCCATTGTCAAAATAAATCAGACCTTCTACACCTCCTGATTCCATTTTTCCAAGGCCTTCCCACCCAACCAGAGCGGTTTATCCTATCCCACCACACGTTCCCTGGCAGATCAAAAAATCTGCCCAAGATCTCTCACACTGCACATATGTCAAGATAACCCTTGCTCACCACCTCATAGCTATCCCTGCCGAGTTTCCTCCACATTTTCTGCAGTGTTTAATTCTCTAAAATCAATAACTAGCTCAGGGTTTTGTTGTCATGCTGTTTTTGTTTTGCTTGCCTTTTCTGGACTTGGTTATTACTGTTGGTGTTAAAAGAATGGGATAAATTAAGTGTTTTCTTTGAAGTTATCCTTCTTTTCTGCTCTCCTTCTCCTAGGTAATGTGGGAAAGAGATCATTGAAATTGGGTAACATGAGATTTAAAAGAAAATATGTAGAGACTTTCATTAGCATTCTAAAGGGCACCTAAAATAGTATATTTTAGGCAACATGTTGGAGTAGGCCATTTTAAAACTACAGATATCTGGCTCCCATCTTCAGAGATTTTCTTTAGCATGAGTGATATTTGATCTCTGCATTGGGATTTTAAGATGATTCTCATGTGCAATCAAAATTGAGAACTTCTGGTTCAGAGGAAGGGACCCTTCTAGACGTATACAATAGAACTTTGGGTGCCACACAACCTCTGAACTCTCATGGATGCATGCCACAAAAGTCCCTTATTATATTCTTAGGAAATAAGTACCCACTTGTTCTTTTACACTTAAATTTAGTTATTAGCTTGGAGAATTTTAAATGCTTAAGAAACATTTAGAATAGCTATTTTAGAGAACATTGAGAGTAGCTAGTTTTAGTTCCTAGCTATCATTGCAATGGCTAATTGATTTGTAAATTAAAAACAATAGATTACAATTTTTCATGCATTCTTCATGTATAGTAGGCAGAAATAAATGCTTAATGGACAAATGCATGCCTAGATATTTTTAAAGGGCTACCAAATAACAGATGAGTACAGTAAATATTGTAGCATTTATTAATTATAAACTTATGTTCAACTAAGTCAAAATGGTAATCAATTTGAGGACAAAGTACAATCAGCTTCTACATTTACATTTTCTCAGATGCTTGTCATTATTCTGCCAGTCAGTCTGAATCTTCTAGACAATATTGTTTTCATGCAACTATGTACAACACTCAACAGCACTAATGCCCCTATGGTGAAAGTTTTTCTGGAATAAAGAATAAGAGCTGGTAAACAAACTCACACTGTCAGTTTTGTCATTTACATATGGATGTAAAGAGAAGGATAAATGTTTTCAAGATTTAAATCTTGATTTAGAGCAATGCATTTTATCACGAATAGAGACAAAAACTCACTCCTCCTATGCCAATAAAAATAAATTATTGAACTTATGGAAACCCTTTGGGAAATTATTATTTCCCAAGAAATTATTATTGAAAAAAATATTTTAACTTTATCATATAATTGAGCCCAGTCATTCTAAGCTACCCTTTTCCTGAATAGCACCATCTTCTATGATTACAAATTAGAATGTGGAGAATGTATCCTACAGAGTAAATTCTAAAGAAACAATTGCTGCCAATGAAACCGAATGTCTTTCTTGAATAACAGTATTTGTAAGAAACTATGCTAGGCATTTTTTTTCTAAACTGGGCTTGAGTTTTTATTTTATAGAAACTGATGTTTGCGGGTTACTATATATAGATGAATATAAACACTTCAATTGGCTTTCTCTAATAATCTAAACAAATAAAAATTCCACTGAAAACAAACAGAAGACTTCAAAGAAGCCAGGGACATTTGACATTGCAAATGAAGTAATATTTCAATTGACACAATACGCCAAAAGAAGTTCCAAGGGGACAAATGTTCCCTCAACATAGTGAAAGTAATGCAAAGTAGAATCAAAATGGAGCAGTATCTAACTGACAAGATGGCCTTTAAAGAAACTAAAATTAGGGGGTGGTAAGGTGGTTCTTGAACAGGACCAGAATTTGCTTCCCAGCACCTATGTTGTTGGGCAACTCACTGCCATCTGTAACTCCATCTCCAAGCGATCCAACAGCCACTTCTAGTCTCCATGGGCACCTGTCCTCATATGCACAAACCCACAAATAGACACACAAATACTCATAACTTAATTCATATATGCAACCATATATAAGTATGTATGACATGTATAGATACCTATTTAAGTGACCACTCGATGTTATGTGTCATCTCTTCCTTACCCCTACATTAATCCAACTTAGGCACATACCATTCCTCCTCATGCCTGCCACAGACGAAACTAAGACATCTGTATCTCATTGCCACTGTCCTTCAGAGCTCCTGAACAATGAAAGTGGCGGGTAATCAAGGTTCAGTTTTTAGGTCTAGCTTAGTGCCTATGCTGCAGAGAGCCTGTGAGAGATGACTGTAGCCATGGTCCCTTTCTCAGTTGTTTGCTCAGAATTGCTTCCATCCCTTCTTTATAAACCCTTTTGCACACGACACATGGCCTTTGATTTTCCATCCCCCATCTTTTATTCTCTTGACAGACAACTTGTGCTAAGCCTGTTTAGAGCTAGTTTTGTTTTTTTGTTTTGTTTTGTTTTGTTTTGTTTGCTTGCTTTTGTTTTTCTTGTCTTTCTGACTTAGTCAACTAAGCTTTTTCATTCTCCCTTCCAACAACCTTTCCTGGTTCATGCTCCTTGATCTGGAAGCTGCGGGGAAGGATCTCCCTCAGCCAAGCCCTGCTCTGTGAGATTATTACCGGTACTTTCCTCCCAAGTCCAGGCATTATGATACAAAACAGCATCTATTTACTTCTCACACAAATGAACAATTTTGCATTCTCAGTGACCAATGAGGAAGGAAAAAATGTGAATTCTCTCCTTCACTAATTTGTAACATAAAATAATTTTTGCTTTTTTTGTTGAACAATCTGATTTTAATTATAACAAGCTTAGTATGAAAGAAAATGAACACAGTTGTAAGTGACCCCTATTGATTATTTGCTAGTTTGTCAGTGTTTAAAACTATAATTTTCTACACAGAGAAACCCTGTCTCGAAAAACAAAAACAAAAAAAAAAAAACTATAATTTTATTAAGACAATACTGAGAAATCCCAATGACCTCAAATAGGGGAAAAGGAAATGAAACCCTCAAAATTCATTTTCTTACTAATTGTGTGACTCTACATCAACTGTCTGGCTATGCCAAGATGTCACTAATTACATAAATGCATTTATATGTTACAAAGCAAAATAGGAGAAAAATAAAGAGGAAAGTCATCCAGTTTGAGCAATAAACCAGTCAACCTGCTTGTGACTGGACTAGTCAGGGTCACCTTTGAAATAAAGATGTAGATATCACTGCTCTGTTCATATTGAGCATCTTGCTAGTCAAAATAGTGACCTGGTCAGGATCATACCATCAGTAACAATTCAATGTGTGATGCACAAGTTACTGCTAGGTGAATTTTCGATCCTAAAGACTTTCATGAAGTCAAGATTTTGGAATTTCTTTCCAAGCATTATTGATGACTATCTATCTTTATTTCAAAAGTTAACCTTATGAGGAACTCACAGTAACTCTTCATCAGAACGTCGAGGAGAAGAGGCAAAGGCTTGTGACCACAACTAGCTAAATAAACTATTTTCTTTCCAGAGTGAGGCCAGAATTGCAGATTTCTAGTTTTTGATGTTTGGTTTTCTAAAATTATTTTATTGCCTGGGTTTAGCATTATAGCACACATAGCAAGGGCTAGACTGTGTGAACAATGCATTTAAAGTGAA